ACTTCTCCTTTACACAGAGGGAAACAGAGGCCTGGCGACCTGGTTCTGGTCTGATGTCTTACTGGCACAGGGTGAGTGACAGGTTTCGGGAAAGCAGGGGCAGCGGCAGGGTGGGGTAACGAAGCAGGTCCCAGCAAAGGTGGGGCTCACCTCCTGTTTTGGATCCTTCTAGACTGAGATGGACCTGCAGATCACTCAGCCTCACCATTAACAGTTCTCTGTGAAATGGACCCACCTCAGTAGCTAGGATTTGGGGTTAATGCACATATAGCACATATAGCACATATAGCCCGATGGCTTCAGCATTCCATAATTTTTATTCTCAGCTGGAGAAATGAATTGGGTTGGGGAGCTGGTGTTGTGCCTGTGCACACACATACATGAGGACTTGAGTTCAGATGCTCAAAACGCACTTAGAAGCAGGCATCGCAGTAACCCCAGCGTTGGCAAGAGGCAAGAGAGGCCGATCCCTGGAGTTCATTGGCCAGCAAGTCTAGCCAATTGGTGAGCTCCAGGTTCAGTGAGAAAACCTGTCTCAGAAAACTAGGATGGAAGGCAGTGGGGGGGAAACCCGATGTTGGCCCCCATACACAAGCAGATGTGTACGCACGCACGCACGCACGCACGCACGCACGCACGCACGTACGTACGCACGGCAGAGAGAATGTCCATAAAGCCTTTGAGAACCACACTTCAGCTCTGCTGATGTCCCACAGGCTTCCAGCACAACCCCTTGGTGGAGGAGCCCTGCCCTAAATAGAAAGCAAATGGCCGGGGGAGAAGAAAGGAGCCCTTTCTAAGCAAGCGGGAATTTGGCCCCAGAGGCCCTAAGTAACCATGCCCAGAGCAGGCCTGCGGAGTCAGGGGGCCTGGAGATTAGAAAGCCGGTAGGAAAGAAAGCCTTTCTTGTCTTGGCGTGTACTGGCAGGAGGAAGGTAGCAGCTGCTGGGCATGTGCAGCCTGTGAGGGGCACGATCTCTTCAGACAGAAGGAAATCCTGCCCAGAGCTGGCAGGTCCAGGGTAACCACGGGGGAGAAGGGTCTGGAGGTTGCTGTATTCAGAGCCACTGCTGTGAGGGGTCCCAGTTTCCCCACTCCCCTCAAACTGCTCCATCAGGGGCCTCCCTCCCAGCCTGGGGCCCCTAAGGCCCTTCCCCCTCCCAGGAGGTGTTGGATCTAGCGATGGTATCAAGAGAAACTTCCAGGAAGCAGGGGTTTATTTTGTATCCACTTCAAAACGCCTATGAATACCCCTCCTCTGGCTAGATCAGGATGGGCGGTTTTGGTCCACTCTGAACGCAGCATTTGGTTTCCCTAGTCAGGCCAGACACAGAGTGGCTTGTTTTTCCTTTTCTATTCTCTCCTTGGTTTTCCTGATCCAGCTCTCAGGCTCAAACTCCTGAGAAAGTTACCAGGTTGGACCCCAGTGACAAGATGCCCAGTATTAATGTCTGCTAATTAATCCAAAAGCCGTCTCCCAGTTGGCCTGTAGATTTTTACAAACCTGAATTAAACCAAGTGTTTATGTGACAGATATGTGGGAGGGATTTCAGATATAATCACCATCAATCTGGCTGCAGCCAAAATAAATTCTGTGAAAAGTAAAACAAACTATTGCCGAGACAAAGTAGGCCTTAGGGGTCTCCAGCAATAATCTGTGTTTTCTTATTTAGCTGCGTCTAATATTTCTGCTTTCTTCGGGGCTGATAGGATCTCTGTACACAGGGTGCTCTTGCCGCAGCTGGCGGGGTGGACACATGCCGCCGCCTCTTCCCCTCCGCCCCAGCTCAATGGAAGGAGAGGGGAGGGGATGCCGCATTTTTATTTTTGAAGTTGAGTTCCAGCGAACCAGCGTGATGGGGAATGGAGCAGGAGGGAGCTGCAGTGCGCATGTCTGCTGCAGTCTCCACAGGGCATGCATCAGCTTCAGCGCGCTCCTGCCCCGGCTCCCACCCCCGCACTCGCCTTCAGTTTCTCCAGGATGGAAAGGAGATGGAAACTGATGCAGGAATGACTTACCCAACTTTAAATCAGCAGCTCCGAAAGAGCCTGCGTCCAGGCTCTCTGCAATGCCTTGCCAAATAAAGAAGACTCGGACTTGGCCGTCTTCTCCAAGAAGAAGTGTTTGGGTACCTGAGTCAGCCCTGTCCAGTTGCTCCACCCTGTGGTCCTCCTCTCTCCACATCTGTGCCTGCCCCCGGCTGCCTTCCTCAGTTCCTTTTCCTCAGTTCCCATCCAGTCCAGGCCTAGGTAGGAGATGTTGAAGGAAGGCATTCAGTTGAGTCTTCCTCTGCTGGTCATCTGGTTGCTGGGGATGTGCTAACCTAGTTCTGGGCTCTGACTCTACTTTGCTCTTGGATGCTGCCAGCTGACCAACCTAAGAGCTTTGGCTCCCATCAGCCAAGGCTTTGCTACACACAGATGTTCCCAGCTTGCCTGCATTTGGCCTCAGCATCCTGGTTGAGACTCCACAGCTTCTGAGAATCCCTCCTTCTGTCCCACCCACCATCCCCTGTTCAGTGCTTCCTTGGGTTCAGAAGACGCCACACCTGCTGTGGTGGTTTGAATGTGATTGGCCCCCATGATCTCCTACGGAATGGCACTATTAGGAGGTGTGACTCTGTTGGGGTGGGTATGGCCTTGTTGGAGGAAGTGTGTCACTGTAGGGGTGGGCTTTGAGGTTTCCTAGGCTCAGGATACTGCCCAGTGTCTCAGTCAACTTCCTGTTGCCTACAAGATGTAGGACTATGAGCTACCTCTGCAGCACCATGTCTGTCTGTATGCTGCCCTGTTCCCCATCATGATAATATTGGACTGAACCTCTGAAGTGTAAGCTAGCCACCCCAGTTAAATGTTTTCTTCATAAGAGTTGCCGTGGTCATGGTGTCTCTTCATAGCAATAAAAACCCTAACTAAGACACCTGCTCATCAGATTGGTCCTGCACCCCCACCCAGCTCTTGTGCTGGTCTTTTACCAGCTCTGGGGGCACACAGCCCGACTCTTCCTCGACATCTAGGGTTGCTGTATGTAGCACCCTCACACTGATTGGGTGGGGGAGCCCCTCTGAATATCTATCATGAGAAACAAGCCTTTCTGTTTTACACTCCTCCCTCCGTTCCTGTTTCTAGGAGCCACATCTGGAGTTAAAGGTCCTGTGCAGGATCACTCACCCAAGCCATAGCTTCTCTTCCCCTGGACAAAGACAGCATAGTCCCTGATCTCAGTGACCCAGCAGCAATAAGCAATCTGGTTTCACTTTACTTTGGATACATCGGATATGCCAGAAAACAAATGAACAAACAAACAAAACAAAATGTTTCCATGAAATAAGTGTTTGCTGTGACTTTGCAAACCTTCTCATCCATCCATTCATCCAATCACTAACATCCATTCACTAACTCATCCATTCACTCAGTAACATTTATTACTGTCTGCCATCCATTCACTCAGTAACATTTATTACTGTCTGGTAAGTGTCAGGCATGGTGATAAGTCCTTGAGATATATTAGTGGATTAAAAACTCTTCGCTTTTAGTAGGTATAGACAGATGATAAATAATAACCATACAACATAATGAGAGTGTACAAAAGGCCAAAATGTCGCTATGTAGAACAGAGATGGCAAAAATTATAAATGTTGGAGTAGAGGGTGCCTGACATGCTCATAATATGACAAGCATATAAGACTTGAGGAAAGGAGAAAGTTAGACCAGAGTGCTTGGGGGAAGAGTGTCTTAGGAAGAGAAAATCATCAGTGCCAAGGTCCTGAGGAAGAGTGTGTCTGGCATAGTTAAGGAACAGAAACAGGTCAGGGTGGCCCGAGTGAAGGAAGCAATTGTAACCTAACAGAAGATAGACTATACGGGACCCTTGGGTACTGGGACGACTTTGACATTTTTTTTCTGTCCCTACTTGAGTAAACTGACAAAGGCCAGTCTCTTGTTTTAGTTAAGCTAGAGTTTAGGAAATTCAACATATATTTTAGAATTTGCATGCCAAGCCCCAAGGCCACATGGATGAGCAAAGCAACCTGCCCTGGTAAGTTCAGGTTTAAATCCCAGCATAGGCTTCAGCAGGAGGGAGGGGCTTCATCATGAGGGAGGGGCTTCAGCAGGGGGAGGGGCTTCATCAAGAGGAAGGGGCTTCAGCAGGGGGAGGGGCTTCAGCAGGAGGGAGATGTGGGCACTTGGGTGGTGGTGGTGGTGGTGGTGGTGGTGGTGGTGGTGGTGGTGGTGGTGGTGAAGCTCCGCCCTCCCAACTCTTCAGCTTCCTGTCCTTACACCAAACTGTCCATGCTCCATTCATCTACCCAGCCCTGCGACGATAGAATGAGATAGGACATAAGAGGATCTAAAAACTGAAGAACCATGCAGAGATGAGAAGGGCCCAGGGAACCCAGGTGACCTGGCCACTGCCCCATGCCCCTTTCCTTTGTTGCCCTCCCTGCGACCTCATTACCACTCATTTTCCCTGCTGAGAACCACCGCTGCTGTTCATTCAAGTTGATGCAAATCCCCAGCCTGAAAAACACACCCGAGGTTGTCTGTTTTGCAGAGGAAATTTACCCATTCCTTCTATGTCATGCTTTCCTGGTCAGATGAGCCCACATTCGGTGCTAATTTTTAAGTCCAATATGCAAGACTCCGACCAACAATAACAAAGCCAGGCCCACAGGTTGCCAAGCTCCGCCAGCTTTGAAAATGCGTTCAGACAGTGTGAGGATATTAATAGGGAGACAGGTATCTCATTTCAGGCTACAAAGCAGATCCTACAGAGAGGCACGGAAATGCTTAAACAGAAGCCAGACGCTCCATGGGAATATAGGCATGCCTGCGCTGGGTACCGGATGCCCAGCTTCCAGCTCTGAGAGCACAGCCTGCTGGTGCAGCCCTGCTTTGAACAGAACAGGCACCGACTATGTGCAGACAGTCTTGCGAATGGGAGGTCCCAGCTGCAAGGGCCCTTTGGAGTTCATCTTGACTCTTCCTTTTTTTCCATAGGTGATGGTACCAATGCCTACCCGTGACTTTGAGATGACGATGAGATTTAATGTCAAGTACAGTGGCTCTCGCTCCAATGCCATTTGAGTGGCAAATGAATGTTTGCCTCTTTTGGAGTCCCCAGGGTTCTAAATGTGCTTCACTGTCCTTTTGTGTGACAATCTGACTGACTGTGGACCCAGGACTAGCAGGGTGGACACTGGGACATCTTTGAGAGTTCACTGATGAGGATAGACTGTGTTATTCCTTCAGACATTGGATCTGGGCCACAGGTTTATTTACCAGGTAATCTCTCTTCCCCTCCCTCCCTTCTGCTCTTCTTCCCTCTCTCCCCCACCCTGTGGTGTGTGCATATTTATAAGTACACAATGTGCATACAAGTGTGTTTATATACGTGTGTGCCCAGGACCGTGGAGGCTACAGATTGATGTTGTCCATCTTCCTCTATTGCAATCACTTTATTTTATGAGACAGGGTTTCTCACTGAACCTGTATCCCATCAATTCATCAGGACTGCCCAGCAAACTCGAGAGATTCTGTCTCTGCCTTACCAGAGCTCTTCGCTTTCTTTCTGTGTGGGTGCTGGAGATCTGAACTCAGGTCCTTCTGCTTTGTCAGCAAGCATTCTTTTCTTTTTTTGGACTGAGCCATCTCCCCAGCCCAGTGACCCTTCTGTCCTCACAACTGTCAAACATGGGGGGAGTTGATAGGAGGGTGCAGGAGGACAGAACATAGAAGCGGTCGCAAGGGGACTTTATGACCACGATTTCCAGTCTCACATTTCCAGATTCCATTTGGGTCAGCTCTGGGGACATGATTCTGAATTAGGGGGAAGGTCTCTGCATAGCAGAAGCTGACTGTCCCTAACAGGTGTCATCAGAAGACACCGGGCTTTTCACATCTCAGTACCCTCCTACGATAGAATCCTATCAGTCCAGCTGACCTTACTGCCCCCAGGAGTGCCCTGTCCTCAAGTTCATCGACGTGTCTTCTCATCCTTGTCAATGACAACATCGTGGACTCTCCCTGAGGCCTGTCCTCAGCTCCCCCACACTGGTAAGTTGCCATCTCTGCCATATTGCATTTATTAAGATGACCCTCTAGAACCAGGCCATGAAAGTGGCAATTCCAGCCTACAGGCATTGGGCCATCTGGATTCTCTCTGCCTCAGTTTCCCCATTGAAAAAGCAGAAATAATAAAGGAATGAGTGTCCTGGAGTTAATCTGAGCAGTTAGGCCAAGCTGAAGCTTTGGAACACTGTCTTATTTGTAAGTGTGACATAAATATTGTTTGTTATTTCTAATGTCTTATTACTGTGTGTTAGAACGTACTGTGGAGAACGTAGCGTAATATAGTAGATTGTACATCCTCCTCCCCTGCCTAGACTTACAGAGCTGGAGAAGTATCCTGCTGCCCTGTTTCCCCAGCACGTAGCACCATGTCAGGGACATAGTATGTTCTCGGTACACGCGCCAGAGTAACAACTGGCATCATCTACAGAGTCAAGTCTGTGACATGATGTCTGTGACTTCATTCATGGTGTTTCCATGTTGTTTTTAGTCTTTTGGAGGGTGCATCTCCCAGCTCCCAAATAAATCACACACAGGCTTATTCTTCATTATAAATGCCCAGCCTTAGCTTGGCTTGTTTTTTGCCAGTTTTTCTTAACCTGAATTATCTCGGTACCTTTATGCCTCTGGGTGTTTACTATTCTCTCACTTCTGTAAATGTTGTTCTTACTCCATGGCTGGGTGGCTGGCCCCTGGTCTGTCTGTCTGTCTGTCTGTCTCTCTCCCTCCTTCCTTCTCCTTCTCCCAGATTTCTCCCTCTATATATTTTCTCTGCCCTCCAGCCCTGCCTGTCCTTTCTCCTGCCTCACTATTGGCCGTTCAGTTCTTTATCAGACCATCAGGTGTTTTAGACAGGCACAGTAACACAGCTTCACAGAATTAAACAAACGCGACATAAACAACAGTAACACACCTTAAAATAATATTCCCCAACATTTTCCCTCAGTAAATGTCACACGGCAAGCAATCTGCTAACTATACCTTGGTGACCAACACATGAATTATCTTGTGGTTTTAAAAAACACAGAGCCTTTTTTTCACTAACCACCTTCCACTGTACACAGAAACTTCTCTGATGAGATCTGAGAACCGAACTGACTTATGGGTATAGAGACATGAATTTGGAGGGTAGCTTGATACTACGTCCATTTAAAGGAACAATAACAGTGGGTTTACTCCTGGAGCCTGTGAGCTCATAACTGAACAAAGTGCAGAGTGTCAGTGGAGTGCTCCGTCATAGGAGAGACATCTGTGTCTCCCACACAACAGGCTCAGGGACCATAGAGCAAGAGAAGGTGGGAAGACTGTAAGAGCCGGTGGTCAGAGAGGACCAGAGCAAGAGTATCTTCTGGACATGGCAGAGCTCCACAAGTGAACTCAACTGGTTATCCGTCTCTCCAGTTGAGCTGTGGACTTGGTCACATGGTTGTTGATATTGTTTCAAGAACAGAGTCCAGGCTGGTGGCTTCTGTCTGAAAAGTAGTAGAAAGAAAGAAAGAAAGAAAGAAAGAAAGAAAGAAAGAAAGGAAGGAAGGAAGGAAGGAAGGAAGGAAGGAAGGAAGGAAGGAAGGAAGGAAGGAAGGAAGAAGGAAAGAAAGAAAAAGAAAG